AGCTGGGCACAGGGTCTGGGGGGATTGAGCTCTGGCCTGCTGCTGCAGCCCACAGCAGACGGCAACCACCAGGGATCCTTAAACCTCCAGGTCAGGAAGGCTTGGTACCCGAGTGGGAGCTGAGAGAGAGGCTCCCCCTACCAAGGTGGGAAACAGCACTGCCTGCCTGGGCTCTTGCCCCACCCAGGATGCTGTGGTACCCAGCCCTCGCCCATCCCTGTCAGTGAGGGAGGTACAGGCCAGGCTTCAGGAGTCCTGGGAGCAGGCAGCCTGGAGCCCCTCCCCAGAGGCCACAGGAGCCAGGACCAGTGTGAGCTGAGACCACTGGACCCCAGTGTGTGCTCTATCCACCTTCACTTACAAAATACAATTCCAAAGCGAAAATCATTCAGGTTCAGAGCATTAACCCCCAAGTGCAGGGCCTTCTGATTGCCAGGTTGTACAGCTGCACTGCTGGCACACCTTTGAAGGTAGCCTGGGTGGAGTCAGGGGCTTTTGTTTTTGTTTTTTCCCTCCGTTTTTAAGATGGGAGAAACTAGGAGAAGGTTGAATTCTGAGAGGTAGAATCCTTTAGCTGAGAGAGGACAAAGATGATGGCCAGAGAACTTGGCTGATAAGGCCAGGCCCCCAGATGGGATTCCCTGCCCAGGGGGGAGGGACAGAGAAGCAAAGCAAATGTTAGGATAGGTGTTTCATATTTGGCAGGAAGGGAAGGGAGTTTCCATTCCTCAGTTTCTGTTTTCTCTATGAATTATCTGCTTGGGCTGGGGAGGAGGTCTTTGAGGGGTCATTAGGAGAGTGTAGAAGTGGGAAATAGGAGCTGTGAAGGAGGGGCAGACTGCTCCCTCCAGTCCAGCTGGAGTCATGGATTCCACGGAATTATGAAGTTTCTAGTCGGCCTGGTTGTGTGACATTCACGACCCTAAAAAGAGAAAGCTCTACCTTGCCATGGTCAGAGGAAGGATGGCCCCACTCTTCCTTAGGAGGAACTCTTCTTAGGAAGGACCGTTCTTTATTTTGAACTGAATAAAAAATGACTTGTTTTTAGTGTTTCTACGTTCTTTAAAAAAACAAAATGATGTTGGTGATAGTAACATTCTTTTGGTATTTTTTTTTTATTCTGGCAAAAATCTACATAAAATGTACCATTTTAAACATCTTTAAGTGTACAGTTCATAATGTTTGTTTCTAAATGTTCTTTACTTTGCAAAATAAAATAAGATTAAAAGTTGGTCATTCTGTATTGTACCCCTAAAGTGGGTTTTTTGTTTTGTTTTGTTTTGTTTTGTTTTTGTGAAATTTTACTGGTCTGTGAAATCTAGAAACTTTATGAGCCTTAAAAAACTTTTTCCTATTTAACAGTGTTATATGACTCTTATTGGCAGAGGAAAACTCTGAAGCAGTTTATAGAATGTTTAAAAATATGGCATAAGAGTGAGATTAGGATTACTTGTTTTATTTTGTTGTTACAGTGCTCTGGTAAAGTTCTCCTAAATCCAGTATTTTGTATATATGTCTCTTTTGTGACATTATCAAGACTGTCTCACTTTCTGCCACAGTGCCATACTTCCCCTTTATATTTCATGTGTAAACTCACAGCTCATACTAAAAATAACTATGTTTTTCTAAGGATTTTTTTGGTAACAGAAAGATAAATATACATATGTAAAATGTGGGTGTGGTTATAGTTGTTCATTTGGTCAAAGCTGTTTTAATAAATGGTTCTAACATTTATAAAGATTTCGCATACATGCTGTTTTTTCATCCTGAGCCACAGACACCAAAAGTCCCACAGGAAGTTGTCTTTGAAAGTGTTGTGGTTTTTTAGTTTCCTGCTCAGTTTGCATTAGATGATCAGAAATAGTCTGTGCAATCGAAAGAGACTCTTGGTTAAACTTTATTGTAATTCTAAATGAGAATCTCAAATTTGCTTGTATCTCTTCCCATATAATTGATCTAGAGGATCTATAATCACATCCATATGTAGGCATTAAAGTTGTGGTATAATGTGAACTTTTTTTTGATGTTGAAAGGATAAACTCTTCATTGTTAAAAGGGCAACTATCTGAGATTATGCTTTATGCTTTCCACTTCTTATCAAACCATCTCCCTGGAAATAAACTGTAGGAATGGAGATGTGCTTTTAATTCTTGACAACTAACTTTTACCTTTATTTTTACAAATGACAAAAACTTTCTCTTGATTCTTTAGAGAAAAGGAGATACATTAAAAAAAATTGTACAGCTTAATTAATTTTTTAACATCTTTATAGGAGTATAATTGCTTTACAATGGTGTGTTAGTTTCTGCTTTATAACAGAGTGAATCAGCTATACATACACATGTATCCCCATATCTCCTCCCTCTTGCATCTCCCTGCCATCCTCCCTATCCCACCCCTCTAGGTGGTCACAAAGTGCCGAGCTGATCTCTCTGTGCTTTGTGGCTGCTTCCCACTAGCTATCTATTCCACATTTGGTAGTGTATATATGTCCATGCCACTCTCTCACTTAGTCCCAGCTTACCCTTCCCCCTTCCCGTGTCCCCAAGTCCATTCTCTACATCTGCGTCTTTATTCCCGTCCTACCCCTAGGTTCTTCAGAACCTTTTTTTTTTTTTTTTTTTTAGATTCCATATATATATGTGTTAGCATCTGGTGTTTGTTTTTCTCTTTCTGACTTACTTCACTTTGTATGACAGATTCTAGGTCCATCCACATCTCTACAGATTACCCAATTTCATTCCTTTTTATGGCTGAGTAATATTCCATTGTATATATGAACCATATCTTCTTTATCCATTCATCTGTCGATGGACACTTAGGTTGCTTCCATGTCCTGGCTATTGTAAATAGAGCTGCAGTGGACATTGTGGTACATGACTCTTTTTGAATTATGGTTTTCTCAGGGTATATGCCCAGTAGTGGGATTGCTGGGTCGTATGGTAGTTCTATTTTTAGTTTTTTAAAGAACCTCCGTACTGTTCTCCATGGTGGCTGTATTAATTTACATTCCCACCAACAGTGCAAGAGGGTTCCTTTTTCTCCACACCCTCTCCAGCATTTATTGTTTGCAGATTTTTTGATGATGGCCATTCTGACTGGTGTGAGGTGATACCTCATTGTAGTCTGGATTTGCATTTCTCTAATGATTAGTGATGTTGAGCATCCTTTCATGTGTTTGTTGGCAATCTGTATATCTTCTTTGGAGAAATGTCTATTTAGGTCTTCTGCCCATTTTTGGACTGGGTTGTTTGGTTTTTTGATATTGAGCTGCATGAGCTGCTTGTAAATTTTGGAGATTGATCCTTTGTCAGTTGCTTCATTTCCAAATATTTTCTCCCATTCGTACAGCTTTAGATATTATAACTACCATTGAAAAAAAATTTAAAGTATACTATTATTCATTGAAATATTTTTATCAATGTAATTTTTAAAGCGTAGTATTCTCAAGGTTAAATTTCTTGCTTGATTTCATTATTTTTAAAACCATGGCAAAAGGAAAATAAACTAAAATTGCCATCAGATGTATTAGATCTTTGACAGATCATTATGTAATCTAGCATTTGACTTATATACGGTAGGCTTGATGAAGAGTGACAAATGAGGAAAGAGGAAAGGTCTCAGTGCATTTGTAGATAACATTTCTAGGTTTAGGTCTGTTAAAGGTACGATGTCTAGTTCTAGGCAGGTCATGCTGATTGCACATCTTATTAAATGGGAAGACTAATAATGTGGAAGGTCTTCCACAGCCACCTTTTCAAATAAGAAAATAATATCACCACAATTAAAAAAAAATAGCATTTGTTCATAAGGGAATTTTAATTACAGTTCCTAAAAGAATAAATAATACTTCGTCCAAAAACAAAAGTCACATCCAACATGACTTTAAAACAAAAGTGACTGTAACCATTTCTGTGCATGGGGAAATAAAAGGAAAGAATAAGGGTTTGATTTGCAGAATGCTTTTTTTCCTAGTTCCATAGCTTCAGGTTGCAAAATGCATGGTATTTTCCTTTGAAATTTTAATTGATATTTATGTATGATATACAGATATTTCTTGGTTACGGTAAGTTAGATCTTTTCATACAGTTTGAATTCTAGAGAAAAACCATCGTTTAAAACCTGATGTTTCTGCTTTTTTCTGTTTCTCATGTACCTTTTATGACACTATACTAGGTACTTTTTTTTAAAATTAATTAATTAATTTATTTATTTTTGGCTGTGTTGGGTCTTCATTTATGTGCGAGGGCTTTCTCCAGTTGCAGCAAGTGGGGGCCACTCTTCATCGCGGTGCGCGGGCCTCTCACTGTCGCGGCCTCTCTTGTTGCGGAGCACAAGCTCCAGATGCACAGGCTCAGTAGCTGTGGCTCACGGGCCTAGCTGCTCCGCGGTATGTGGGATCTTCCCAGACCAGGGCTCGAACCCGTGTCCCCTAGCATCGGCAGGCGGACTCGCAACCACTGCGCCACCAGGGAAGCCCTATACTAGGTACTTTTAAGGAGCTTACCATTTAATGTTACTAAGAATTCCTGACATTTGTGAAGAGCTTTACATTTTACAGAGTGTAGAATAATGAGGGCGGGAAAGGTTTCTTAAATACCCCTTGGTGTCTAGCGAGGGCGTCTGCACTGCGGTCTGATCAGCCGGACCGTGGACCGAACGTCCTCGCAGCCTTTTCTGCTGGGCGCCTCCCCTTCTCTCGCCACTAAGAATTTCAACATTTTTTATGCCAAAAATATGCTTTTGGGATCCATGTCTGTACTGGCTGGAGAAGGGGGTGTTGGGTCTATATCGAGGCCTCGTGTGCGTGAGCCCCCTGGTGCCCGTGACCAGTGTCCGCGGGGCAGTCGATCCGTCCACAACGACAGCCAGGACGCACTTCACAGCGAGGCCTAGGCAGGCGAGCGGCGGGGGCCGCGGCCAGGTGTGTCTCTGTTCAAGTCGCAAAGGCTGGGTACACGGAGGCTCGTTCCTCCGGGGCGCTTTCCGCCTGACCCGTGATGCTAACAAACAGGAAACTCCGTCTCCAAGCCACTTCGGAAACTGGGCTTTTCCTTCCGCGACAGGGGTCGCGCCCGGACAGGAAGCTGACCAGCCGCTCGCCCCTCGCCCTCGTGGCCCCGCCCCCGCCTCGGCCCCGCCTCCCGCGCGCGGCCCTGCCCCTGCCCCGGCCCCGCCCCCCGGCCGGGCATGCTCAGTGGGCCGGGTCGGGTTGGCAGGTTTGCGTGGCTGTCCGTGGTTGCCGGCGCCGGCTCAGCCCGCCGACGCCACGTCCAGTCGTTGCAGCTCGTTCCTGGGAAGTTACATGCGGAAGCGGCTCGCAGGGAGCCGGCAGGCGGGCCGCGGAGGGCTCGGTGCTGCCGAGCGTTGAGCGGGCGGGCCCGTGCCGGTGGCGGGGCTGCGGCCGCCGCGCTCGGAGGGAGGTGCCGGCCGGGCGCCCCCCGTGGGGAGCCCCGGGCGGGGCTGGCGCGGCGCGGACTTTTGTCCTAGTTGAGTCCCCTCCCCGTGGGCCGGGCCTTTCCGGCGCCCCCGCCCCGCTCGCTCCCGGGAGATGTTTATCTGGGCAGCTGCGTGAGGAGCCGGTGGCTGGCGGCGAGGAGTCTCGGGTCCGAGGAGTGTCGTGTGGCACCGGAGAGACAAGATGTCTGCCAGGGCCGCGGCCGCCAAGGTGCGCGCTTCGGGGCCCCGTTCCGCCGGGGGCCCGTCTCCCTCCTCCTGCGGGCTGGCTGCCGGGCCGGGGCCCGAGGAGCGGGCGGCCGGCCGGGGGTGGGGACGGCTGGGGCCCAGGCAGGTGCATCGCGGCGGCGTCGCTGGCAGTCCCCGGCTCATTCCTGCGCGGGGAGGGAGCAGGGCGGGCGGGAACGCGCAACAGGTCCCGCCGGGAAGCCGGGCGCGGGGAGCGGAGGTCGGGCCGGAGCCACCCCGGTGGGCGGCGGCTGCTGTCTTTGCCGGAGTGGTTGGTCCCTGGCGAAACCGTGTGGTTTCGATCTGATGTCACTGTCGCTGGTATGCGCGCGCCCGCGACAAGACATTGGGACGGCAAACACTCAGCCCGTGTGGAGTAGGTTGGAGTTTTGTTGTTTTAACTCTGTTTTATTTACTTAAGGAAACATTGAAAAAACTAATCTCTTTAACAGTTTTTAATAGTTTAGTTTGAATTAAACTTTCAGAAGTACCACAATATAACCTTAAAAATGGACAATTGGATGAACTCTAAACAATAAAAATTGGCAAAGACGTGTGGGTTCCTCAAAAAAGTAACACTTTTTCCTATCAATTTTTCCATGTGCTTTGAAGTATTATGCCATTTTCTCAGTGCTTTCAAACCAATTTGTATATGACATCAAAAAGCTGAAGTTCTTTTTTTTTAATACATTTATTTATTTTTAAAAATTTTTGACTGCGTTGGGTCTTTGTTGCGGTGCGCGGGCTTCTCATTGCGGTGGATTCTCTTGTTAGGGAGCACAGGCTCTAGGCACGTGGGCTCAGTAGTTGTGGCTTGCGGGCTCTAGAGCGCAGGCTCAGTAGTTGTGAGCCACGGGCTTAGTTGCTCCGAGGCATGTGGGATCTTCCCGGACCAGGGCTCGAACCCGTGTCCCCTGCATTGGTAGGTGGATTCTTAACCGCTGAACCACCAAGGAAGTTCCCTGAAGTTCTTAAAAATCAGTTAATATTCTCCTCTCCTTTTGTACATTTTAACTTTTTTCACCATAAAGTAGTACCTGCTCTTTCAAACGATTGCGGGAATACAGAAATGTGAAGAGTAAAAATCTTCTCCCTTAAAAATCAGTTCATTACTTCAAACAGTATCAAAGTGCCTACGCAGGTACTGGTTTGATTTTTTTGGTTTGTTTTTCTGTTTGAAATGTTTATTCATAGTATCTCGGACCAGGTATAATAAGGCCCTGGAGTTTCTGATCTCAAGACCTTGTTTTCTGGCTGGCAGAAGTTAGCGGATACATTTAGTAGTGAATAAATTCTTCTAAGGAATTTAGTGTTTTCTCTTTAAGAAAACTTTCATGTGTACCTTTTTGACCGTACACTGATTAAGAACAATCTAAAGATTTAGAATAAAAGGCAGAATTTCGCATGATTTTAAAATAAGCTTACATTATTTACTTTTTTTGGGAGGAAAGGCTTTGTTTCCATATTACAGAGAATGTCACTGTGTTCCTGCACTGTGATCTCTGGCACTTAATATACAAGACCACACACTCTAAAAAGGTTATTTCATGTATGGAGAGAAGTAAGTTTTCAGGAGATTGCCATGGTAAAATGATGATTTAGAAGGAGTCATACGTTTTCTCCTGAATCATGGTGTTGAGATTTTATGGCATATTGAAAAATGTCACTAGTTAAACATTACATTTTAGGGACGTTTGCATTCTTAAATATTTATGAGTAGAATGTCAGTTGAAAGCTTACTTTTCTGAAATGCTGTGTTATGGGGCCACCATTAAATCTTATGTAGAGCAAGGCAGGCTGTAAAAGATAGATGAAATGAAATAGTATTCAACCAACCAAGTCACGTTTAATTTTGTAAGGTGATTAAAATGCTTAATAAGAACCAGGCTGTGTACTCAATACTTTACGTATATTTTTGTTTCCTCCACTTCCCAGTTAAAAAAAAAAGTGAAGACATTAATTTTGCAGCTTGCATTTCTTGCTTTTAGCATAATAGTTTGTAGAACTCTTCTCAAAACCAGTACCTTTGATTCTATGTTCTTTGTAATGGTTGAATATTCTTCCATCCCATGAATATGCTGCAGGTCATTATTGCCTTACTGATAGACATTTAATTTGTTTCCAGGATTTTATTGTAATAAGTAGCCTTATATTTTTATATCTGCATTTATATAGTATTACTGTATGTCATATTCTTAAAAGTGGAATTTCTGGGTCAGAGGGTATGTGCACTTAAAATTCTGATATACGCCACTAAATCTTCCTCCAAAACGGTTGTACCTAGGAATAAATATAACAGTTGTTGGTAACTTACCTAATTTTAAAGGACATAAAACATCAGTAAATGAGATGAGAAAATATACTCTCTGACTGGGGGAGAGTGACTCTTGTAGAATATGCCAAATTTTCTAGAGTTGGTGTATAAATGTTAACACAATTCCAAATAGAATTCCAGTGCAGTATTGTAGAAAACTTGACATACTGATGAGAAAGCTTATCTGATAAAATAAATGGATGATAGCCGTGAAATTTTTGGAAAAAGAATACCTTATTAGAAAACCTAATGTGTTATAAATTCAAAGTAATTTGAGGCAGTCTTTTAGCTCAGGAATAGACATTGGAATCACAGAGTCCAGAAACATCTGTGTGTTTATGAGGTTTTAGTGATTATGATCGTCAGCATTTAATGTGTGTCAGCTATTGTTCTAAGTGCTTAACATGAATTAACTGATGTAGTTCTCAGTATCGATATGAAGTGAGCACTACTGTTATTCCCCAGTTTATGGATGAGGAGATTGAAACACAGAGAGATAAAGTACTTGCCTAAATTCACCTAGCCAGCAAGAGGGAGAATTGAGACTGCATGATAAAAATAACATGGAAGATTACTGGAGAAAGGATGGATTATTCAATAAATAGTGCTGGGACTGTTGGTTATCCTCTTTAAAAAAAAAAAAAAAAATTTTAGGCCCCCCCCCCCCCCGAAAAAAAAATCCAAATGAAATGTTTGAAAAAGTGCAAAGAAGATAAATCATAAAATACTAGAAGAAAGTGTAGGATGCTTTTTAAAAATATATACTTAAATTAGAAAGGGCTTCTCAGTGCATGGTATTAACTTAAGTAATAAAGGAAAAGTTCAGATATACATCTGAATTTGCAAACAGAATTACTAGTGTACCTGATATGAAATGATTCAAAAGTTGAAAACAGGAATTTGAGGGCGGTTCTCTGTCTCACCAAGGAATTGTTTAGTTATGTAAGAAAGTGATATGAATAATTGGGAACATTTCCATTTGTTGAATCACAGAAAGTGGCTGAAGCAAGTACAGTGGCTTCTGGATTTTTAAGCTGTTTCACTTCAGAGGAAGCAATAAAATGTAACATGTATGCTTATTAGATTTTGCTGCTTAAAAGTTTCCATTTTGTCTCAGGAACAGAATTTTTTTCGCCTGGTTGATTATTTGTAAAATTATAATGTAGTTTAGTATGGAAATTATTTACACCACTTCTTAGGAATTCATTTATAGTTATCAAATAAGGCACAATGAACTTTCCTTAACAGCTGAACATTTGAAAGTTAAAAACTGTAGAATAAAGCTAAATGAACAAAACTAATTACAAAATTAGTCCTTATAATAAGATAGGAATTGTGTCTTCAGTGGCTGTTATGACATAGTTTTAATTTTGGTACTTAGTGATTGGTATTTGCTTCATACTGCTTTAAAGGTAAATTAAAAACTCACTCTGTTTTAGTGATTGGTATTTGCTTTATACTGCTTTAAAGGTAAATTAAAAACTCACTCTGTTTTATGAGAATTCACTAATTGTGTGTACCAACGTTTATTGGGCTTCACTGTAGTAATATTTTTCTTTACCTGCCAAATTTGTACAATGTTTTTCACTAGAAATATTTTTATAGTATTTAAGGCAAAGACTTAATTTTTTATGTTAGTGTGTTTGACATGGTAGATGCTTGTGGTCAAACCTGTCATTTATGTGCTTGGTTGATAATCCTGACTGCATTTATAACTCTTAAGTTCATTTTAGGACAGCTCCATTAGGTACTTTTCAAATCTACAGTGCTTACCCACTAGTGAGTGATAGTGGAGGTCAGCCATCCACACCAACAAATAATGAGGTTAAAACCGATCTGTGGCTTTGAGAGCTGTAATGTAGTATATATAGTACTGTTTCCTGTTTGGTTTGAAAGAGAAAGATTACAGTAGTTTCACTCCTTTTTTTTTTTTTTTCTGGTAACAATGTACTGGCTCTGACTTTTACTTGCTCTTTAATCTTTTCTCTATTTAGAGACCAAATGTAAACTCAGTACAGTTCTAAGAATAAAACTGAGTATAAACAAGACAGATCACCAAGCTGCTAAGGAGAGTGTCATTAAAAATAATAATTTTGGTGACAAAATTGGAAGTGTAATCCTGTTTATTGACATAGTTCTGACATGATAAAAATTCAATCTAATGAAAGACTACGAGTCCGGCTGTAAATCCACGTGTGGTGCCACTGGTCCCTGGCCGCCCAGCCACAGCTTACTGCAGGCTCCATGCCAGTCACGCACTCAGGGTCGAGCACTGATGGAACGTGGTAGGGCTGGATACCAGCCATGGGACAAGCAGAGTTATTTTTTATTCGTAGAGTTTTTGATCAAATGTTAAATAAGATTAAAAGATAGTTTATGTCTAGTATGATATTTCTGAAATATTTGACTAGAACTTGCTTTGCATCTCTGAATTTTTGAAAGACAATCTTGAAAAACCTCCTTAGCTTAACTTTTAATCTTGTAGAAAGAGACAGTTAGAACAGTTTACCAAGTTTTGAATTTAATCTGAAATTGGTCTGTTTCAGTATAGTATTTCTAATATAAGCCAGCAATAAAAATAGGCCTTTTGCTACTGCTGACCTAGAGTGCTTCCTAATTTATTTATTGCAGAGAAGAGTGGCTTCAGGTTGCTTCTTTATGGGTTAGCCAGGTGCTTGATTTCCGTGCCTTCCTAAACAGATACATTCTTAATAATGAGAAGTGTGCGGTGAGTTCATGGGTAGGGAATTTCATGTTATATCCTAAAAATGTGTGAAAATAATGGACTGAATGATCGGCTGTCCCACAGAGTACTGTTTTAATATGAGGAAACCAATGTTGCCAAAATTCATACCACAAAATACCATTTGAGATTTAATAACAAGCCCTGTTACATATGTAGTGTTAATACTGAATCTCAGAAAGCCCTTAACTTTGGGATAGATCAAAAGGTATGTTTTAATTTGTGTTGTAGGTGCATTTCAGTATATATTAGAACAGTCTTAACTCTTTCATGCTGGTAGAATGCTGGGAAGTGAGTTGATTGGTGAGTGACCTCATTCTAGTTTATCATGCCCAGAAGAGAGGTGAAAACTGGAATGAATATTACTTTGCATGGATGCTAATTAGGAACATAAGATTAGCATATTCCTGGCTTGATTAAAAAAATTTTTTTTGATTTGCTGAAGTATTTTTTTGTTTTTTTTAAAAAATAGTGTACATTCCCAAAGAGTGAAAGTTCATTTTTTTCTTGGTTATTGTAGGCATTTTCACTCTTTCGAATTGTTGCTAGTAATCTTTTGGGTTTGTACACAGTTTCTGATAACTGAATTAAACTTAATTTATGATTGTTCTCTTAATTCAATACATAATGCTAAAATTCAGGAGGTTATCAGTAATGAGATTCTTTTTGTTAGTTCAGCAAGCATTTATTGAGCACACTTTGTTTTGGATCCCTGTCCTCTAAAGGCTTATAGGTTTTAGCTGCCCTGTATTGTAATAATCAGTTGTGAGATGTGTAATTCATTTTTAAGATCCAAAGAATTTGAGTTTTTATTCTTAAAATAAAAGCACACTTCAGGTCATCTTATAAGAGCATAGCACTCTGCTGTGCTTTTTTGGTTGGGGAAGGTGGTAGAATCCCATCTAGAGCCTGGGCTTACTGTAACACATGAGTTTCTGCATTTTCCCTTGTTAATTTTAAAAAAAAACGTTTCAACTGAATCTGGATACATTGACGCGTTTGGTAAATGTCTAAATAGGAGAAGAAGGTTAAGAATTATAAAATAATTAGAATTTATTTATATACTTATAACTCCTTGAATATACTGACATGGGAAATGGACAGTAAGCTGGCTGTTACTATTATACTTAGGGTCTAGCCAGTTGTTAAATATGTAACAATTTGGATTTTTGAAACTGTATTCTATATTTAACAGATAGTCACTGCTGGCCTAGTATGAACCAGGCACTGTTCTAGGTGCTAGAAATAGAGCAGTGAACACATCACTGTGCTGTACTTGTGGACCATTTTAATGGTGTGGGCAGAAAGCAACAAATAAAATACTGTAAATAAAATGATGATGAGCACCTAGAATCCCTAACAGGCCATTTCTGGATCATAACTTGCTTTCCCCAAAGATTATAAATATCTTGTCTTCTATATTACTTATTTTCTAGTTTTTCTGTATAATTTTACCACTTACGCATTCCATAAACACTGGTTTTGCCTGTGAACTTTACACAAACAGGATCTTCTGGTGTGGACTCTTGTATATGGCTTCTCTTGCTCATTGTTGTGTCTGTGAGACGATGGACATTGTGGGTGACTAGTTCATTAGCTGTCATTATATTTGTGGGTGAAATTCGTAGTCTTCCATTTTAGGAGGGCTTACTGTCAGATTGGCTTCTGGAAGAAGTAGTTTGAATTAGACTTTTATGGGTTTTGGGGGGAAAATGTTGTATACTTGTCTGAGGGGCAAGAATTAGATAAGTGTATTGGCTAGGCATTGGGACACTAACAACTGTGAAAAATAGGGAGCTGCTTTTGGTGTTCATATGATGTTTACCTTGAAAAGTCAGTTTTAATTTTGAGAGCTTTTTATGACTTAAAATACATTACCTTAAAGTGTATTTTCATAGGTATCCATTTACCTGACACTGATCAGACCAGTGAAAGCCCTGATGGGGAGAAATTTGTGGTTCGGCAAAAACAAGTAAACACAAGTGTACTTTTCAAAGTATAATTGTAAGAAATCTTTCCCAGTGGTGTCATGTAAAGAAACTTTGGAAGATTTATTTACTGTTTTTCTTTTTTCTTTTTTTTAAATAAATTTATTCATTTATTTTTGGCTCTGTTGGGTCTTTGTTGCTGCGCGAGTTGCAGTGAGCGGGGGCTACTCTTCATTGTGGTGCAGGCTTCTCATTGCGGTGGCGGGCTTCAGTAGTTGTGGCTCGTGGGCTCTAGAGCACAGGCTCAGTAGTTGTGGTGTATGGGCTTAGTTGCTCTGAGACATGTGGGATCTTCCCAGACCAGGTCTCGAACCTGTGTTCCCTGCATTGGCAGGCAGATTTTTAACCACTGCACCACCAGCAAGTCCCTATTGTTTTTCTTTTTTAAACAGTGGTACATGTTGGAGTATTTAATTAAACATATACCAACCCATATTTTGATGCTGTATTTCCTATAAAGTCAGAAGACTGTGGCCATGGCAAGCAGATTTACATCCTAGTTGTAAATATGAGAAATGTGTATTAATAATAAATAATAGCCTCCTAATACAGAGTGCTGATTCTGTGACGATACTAAGCTAGCTGTTTTATGTGCATTGTCTCATCTGATCTTAACAATTGTGGTAGGTACTCTTGTGACCTCTGTTTCATAGGTGAGGAATCTGAGGTTAAATTTACTGCTCTGGCTAATGACTCACTTGCTTCTAGGTTTTATAATTCACACATGCACATGCTTTTACGTTCATGTGCTGTAAGGAGTGTCAAGGAGA